TACACTGTACATTGAAAAAACTCTATGGTAGTCACTTGACATTAACTTAAAGAGTTGTCGATTTAGAATGCATTACATTATTTTATTCAGCATTATAACTGAAATAATGAAAAAATTTATAAAGGTAAAACAGTTAATAATTATTAATTACATAAACAAATTACAATTTTAAGTTAATATAACTGAAATAATTTTTCCCACACTGACTGTTGTGACTAGACTTGTACAGTATATTTAATATTTATTATAGATAGAATGTACATAGATATTAGAAGTAGTATTGCTGTTTAGGCCAAAATAGTAAATTATATTTATATTGTTATAAATATGCAATATAATAATAGCGAATACATTTCGTGAATGTATATTCCTATTATTTTTGATTGATTTAAATTGTTCAGTGATTAGTTTGATTATCTCGCAAGGCTATATATTATACAGTAAGCACTGAGTACAATATATAATAATATTATATTATATATACATATAGATACAGCACACAAATTAGTATTTACTCTTACATTCTATCTATAGATAGAAATATATTCTTCATTTTATGTCTCTGTTGTCTGTTTAACTGTATAAAAGCAAACTTAGATAATTTATAATCTATTCAGAACAATAATTAGAATTTACTCTAATTATTAAGAGTAAAGTCAGGCCTTGATAAGAGTAGATATCCTATTTGTTGGCTATATCTATTATATTGTAGTAATTTTATATTTTACATGTACAATTTAATTATTTAGGAGGACACTATTTCTGTTTCACAAACCATCTAGGTAATAAATACTAAAAATAATAAATTAATAGTCTATGAACCATGATAATAAGTTCAAAAGATATAATAATGTGGGAACAGATGATTTGAAAACCATAATTATTATTATTAATTTACTAATATTTTAAAATTGTAAAAATCGTCCAAGTTAAATAAATAATTGACTAAACTTAATATTAATTATTTATTTGATGTAAAACTATTATTATTCTTAGTATATACGTTCCAATTTAGATACATCAACATTATAAAAATTATTCAAGAATTATTTGTTTTAGAAAAAGACGGTCATTAGAACGGTATTATTTCAAAAATAATAAATTTTGGCCACCGCAAAAAATGTACTTTATAAATTGTAAAAAATCCAAGCAATTATCTAAATTTTAAATTTTAAAAATCAGAATTTAAAAATAATACGTTATTGAAGGATAAATGAGGATGATTATGTAATTGGTAAATTCTATATAATATACTCTTTAGTTTTCTCCTCCCTTTAATGCAGGCGGGATCTGCGCCTAGGTCAAATTTTTTAATTAAAGTATATTATGTAGTGTTAACAGGCATCGATCCAAGATTGTGATTTGGGTTACGTGTATCAAGTGTATAAGTGTATAATCAATGTATATCGAAATATAGCATAAAAAAAAAAATTGTAACAAAATTATTCAAATATTAATTATTAAGCATTTTCAATGTAGAAATAAGACCTCTGATGAATTAAAAAATAAGTAAAGACATTTTGCTAGATATATTCAACATTAGGTACACCATATTTTTTAACTTATTATCTATTTAATTATATATTATACTACGTTACTGAACAAAATAAACTTTTATATCTCGGAATAGTGATTATAAATGTAGAAATATATATGTGTATCTACAACATATTATAGATATTTTATAGTTAAACTAAAAAAAATCTTATTTGATGTACCTATAAATACATTAAATATACATGTAACGCATGAATATAGTAAAAGCCAGTATGAAAGTGCGAGAAAAGCGCGTGATTACTGATTAGCTATTATAGAGTAGATCTAACATTGTTTTGTATAATATATTGTATATTGTATAGTTCAATAGTTGTATTGGATGAGATTGTGTTACCATTAAGGAACGAATTTAAATGTGAATCGCATTTTTTTCTGAATGTCCGAAAACATTACTTTCCAAGCACAAAGTTAATTTCATAAGTACACAAAGGAATTAAAAAATGTAATTTTTATTTTTCATTTTTTTATGTTTTTAAGTCATTTTTATAAAGAAATAGATAAAATTCGATAAAAATTATAATAATAAAATAAAATATTATTTATCGTATAATATATGTCGTACTTCTATTTTTATTATTTATTATGATTTTACTGATCAGATAAATGTGATGCCACTGATGTCAGACGAAATTATTGTTGATATATATAGACGTTTAATATATACGTATACTATGATACGAATAATTAATATCTAAGAATAAAAATTAATATAATTAAACAATTTTTTTCAATGTTAACAATAATTTTAGCATTTAAAAAAAAATCTGTTATGAGTGCATTGAATCATATTTTTAAGGAATTGTTTTGTTTTTTAGACATTTAAATCCGTTTCCTATAGTTATCATATTGCTATATTGTATATTTAGGAGCAGTAAAAATGTATCAATTCTCAGTATTGAGAGTAGTAATTAGTAGTGGATTTAATTTAGATATTACTATTTTTGGAGAGAGGGGTGATAGATTAAATAAAAATTCTAGTAGGTACTTTTAAAAATGAATAACCATGATATTTTTATTATAAATTTGTGTAAGCATTTTCTTTAAATGATCATCTTTAAAATATTTTTACACAATTCGAAATTTTGTCTTATAATATTGCACTTGTTAGTGTAAAACTTACAAAAGTGTAAGCTAGAGACAACACATGCGGACGTCCTTTTAAAATAATAATGTTAGATTATAATAGAGTTATTAAAAATAAAAATGTTGACATTTCTTTAATTATTCAGATATTATTTCTTATATGTCAAAAATGATGACCTATAGGTATTTCACTAAAAATAAATAATAATAAAACACTTATTCTATGAACCAATAAAATAAGTATACAGAAAGTCTCCATAAATGACAAACATTTATTAGTCATGAAAATGTCTATTCGACTATTCATATTTAATACGCACATATTTTTGTTTTAACTGTAACATATGAATATAAAATTACATATCCTTAGATTTTTTAAAGTATAGTGCACAAAAAATTATAAATATTGATTAATAAGATATTTTAAATAATAAGTTCAACGAAAAAATCGTTCTCTAAACACTATTCTAATAAAACAGGTATATACATATGTTATTATTTAGCCTGGCTATTAAAATACGTTTCAAACCAGTTGCGAATTCAGGAATATTTTTTTGGGCGGGCCCGTAAATTTAACCACAAAAGCTAATACCGTAAAATTATGATTTAATTAAAAATAATTTTCATTTAGTCATAAATATTTCAATAAATAGTCCAATACCTACTAATAATAGTAAAAAAAATAAAAAATATTGAAATACAGTTAGGTACGTGGAAAAATGTAATCTCCTTAACTTATCACGTGCAAATGTATTTAAAACTTTGTCTGGATTGTATTAACCATTCAGTGCTATTAAAATAAAATATAGGAATGCAATTAGGTATGCTTAAATAAATAGTTAAAAAAACAAAATAAAACTAACCTATTTGGTTAATATACTAATAAAAATTCTAAAATAAAAACTTGAATGCCAATATTTAAAATTAAAATTATTTTTTTTAAAAATTTTGGGTGGGCCCGGGCTCATCCGGCCCACCCTCTGGATCCACGTCTGTTTCAAATACTAACTTTTATTCAATTATATATTTTATATACCTATTTTACATTGAATTTAATACCTAGTGGTCATAAAAATTAGATGTTTTTGTTAGTGACTTAATAAATAGGTATAACTGTAACTTCATTTGTCAGAATATGACAACTTATTTAGAAGCAAGATATTATCTATATTGTATCATAATAATAATGATAATATTTAGTTTTAACTATATTATTAAAATTAAACTAAACAAAAAACAAAACAATTATAAATTATAATAAATGAAAGCAATTATTTGTAAATACTATATATTATGTCCTTATTATGGCGCTGTATATAGTAATCTGAAATAATAAATTATTATAAATTAAGATAATTATTTTTATAAATAGCTAAATATAATGCACAGTGATTATAATTATTTTATGATTTTATCTGTGTATTATTAATTACATACATTTAATTAATTATTAACCAATAAAACCATTCATGCGAAGAAATTCTAACAGGATTTAAAGTTACTTAGGTACCTGTATTATATTATACGTAGGTACTAGTGTAGTAGGTATCTACACTTAATAAGTACTTAACTATTGGTTTACGGCTACTTGTATACAAAACTCAATATAATAATCTATTCGTTTCTAATAATGGTATTTATTTATATATTTTTTAACTAAATGCGAGTTATGTTTATAGGTATCTAACTATAAATATAGTAGGTACGTAAGGTACGTTAAAATAAAACAATAAACATTATAACAATATATGTATCTACAATGCATAGTATAATAGGTGTTTGCCTTTTATTTTTCAAAGACTAATTAAATTTAAATTGTGTAATAATTATAATTTATAAGTAATATAATATTAGAGCTTGGTAGGTACTAGATATAGGTACCTAATACCAATAGTTTTTATGTGATGTGAATAATTTAAATTTGTTATACCTACTCACGAGTTAAGATTAGAGAAGTAGGAATGTAAAATATACGAATATTATTTTAAAGCCCAGTTAAATAAAAATAAAATTCAAATGACAATTCATAAATCTATATATACGTCATATGTAAATGTAGTATTTAATTGTATACATACGCCCTGGTTGGTTGGTACATTTATAAACATGTATTTATACTTATATTTATCTACTTATTCGTAATCTCTTATCGTAATAATTTTGTCAGAAATTAGATTTTATAATAACAGTCGCCTACTCACAAGGATAAAATGTCATTCGTCCCAAATGTTTGTCGTCTATGCAATATATATATATCACGGAAATAGAAATCTACAGCTTACGTCGAATCGGACATGTCCGAGAATAGTATTTTTGGAACCCCTGCGCGTCCGCACAGCTTATACGATAGGAATTGATTCTTAGTATGATACTAGGTTCAGACGAGTTATTTCAATTAGTGCTGTTTCACATTTCTTTAAGTACCGTTGAGTTAAATTTTTTTTTTCAATTTCCTCCTTTTGTAGGTTGTTAGTCACTCAAAGAAATTATATTTGCAAAATAAATCTGTTAACGGTCCCTAAGGCACGTACGCCTTTCAGTAATCTATCACCACTTAGTCTATCATATTCATACAAAGTAACATTACTTAGGTAGGTACACTACAAGAATCAAATTTTTGACGTAAATTGCTGTTACCAATATGGCTAACGGTATAAAGAAACTTGATGAATATAATTTAATGGTGCTCCGAGAACAACTATCATTGCCTGCTAATAAATATTGTTTTGACTGTCACCAAAGAGGACCAACATATGTGAATGTTACCATAGGCTCATTTGTCTGTACATCATGTTCTGGACTATTGTAAGTATCTACTAAGCTATTAGAAAAAAAAACTATTTAATGTATTAAATCATATTAGCTAATTAAAAACATTCAATGTCACTGTAATGTAATTACTATCAGTTTGTGATAGTGAATTATACTCTTACTATGATATTTATTTTTTATTTTTTATAATATTAACATTTGATTTGACATAAAACATAAATAAGATGAAAATTTTTTTCCGAGCTGAAATATTCATATTTGATTAGGTTTCTAATTTGATATTAATATTATTATTTTTTGTATACCAATAATATATATTATAGGTATATGAAGTATAATTATCAATTATCATATTTATTGTTAGGTAAGTTGCATTTAATTTTATTGGAAAACAATGATAGGTTGAATATCTAAACTAATATTTAATTAATATACATAGGTTTATGTTAATTTAAGTCATGACTCGCAAAGTAAATCAAATCACCCTATTTTAAACAACACTTAACTAATTATATACTTATGTGTTACACTTATTTAATATTACTGATGTATATAATGTAATTTAAAATGTATTAAGTTTTCATTTAAAATAGTTATTCTTAACAGAACTAAAATATAATAATTATTACAATATTTTATACTTTGGTAGTTATATATTTTTTTATTAAAGAAATGTGTATTAACTATTATTTTTACTGATAAAAACATATTTCTGAAAACTAGGTTGATCTCTTTATACTGGTGTAGTTATTTAAATATTTTGTTATTAAAGAATATCTGTTTATTATTTCCTTATAAGAATAAATCCATTAATGTTCATTGATAATTTAAAAAAAAATGTATCATCAAGGTATCTTTTCATGGGTACATTTAGTTTTGACAAGGATTCCATATTAAATAATAAATTTACTAATAAGGAGATAATTGATACTTGTCTAGTTAAGATATAATTTGTTATACCAAATTTACTCATATTTAATATGTATTTATATATTTAATTTTTAAATTACTTATATTTTTATAACACATGTAAAATTTTTATTTTTATACTAAGGGTTTTAATTTATTATTTTATGACTTATTACCTATCAATCAATTTACAGAAATATGTATTAATAGTTAATATTTATCCATTTTAGTTTCATTATTGGTAAAAAATTATGTCCATAATTGTGTTGGCTTTAATTCCAATCAATAGGTATGTGTTTACTAATTAGTATGCTTACTTCCTTTGAAATTAATGTTAAAAAAGATAATTATAAACAAATAAATAAACAATAGTACCCACATTAATTTAAATTAATCATCATTTTAATTATACAAATATTTTATCTCACCAATTAATAGCTTATTATATTCTAATAAACAAAAATATATCATTTTAACGTTTCTAGTTATTTATTTTAGTCACGATTAATTAATAATTACTATTATTTGTACTTAAATTGTGTTTGTAATTTTGAATTTCTGATATTTCTGATCAATATTAATTTAAATTAAGTATAATAGCATGTAAATTATAATATACCATTAATATAATATATTTTTACATTTTCAAATTTTCTTATTTAAAAAAAATGGATCTTAGATAAATAAAGTTAGAAAATATTATAATATATTTATGTTATATGAGGATTGATATTTTTCTGTATTATAAATTTATAAATCTAGTATTTTTTGGAGGTGATTGACCAATTACTTACTAACCATTCAAATATTATATTATATTTACCATTATAATTTATGTGAATGCCTAAAATATTATTGCCAACAGTCATTTTTTATATCTTATCAACATTTTTATGTTTAAAATGTCATCCTTATTATTTTGTTTACAAATACAATTAATAATTGCAACTGTTAATTATGGCATTGAAAAAAAATATCTGTATAGTATATAAAAAGATATTGTATGATTTTAGTAATATTGTAACTATATTCTATTAAATTACACAATTGCATCTTTAACTAAAGTTTAAAATCATTGATGTTGATTAAAATTATTATTTAAAAATTATTATTTTTATTTTTTACATACCGTTATACAATATATAACAGAATGTACTTTGTTATTTTTTTAATACAATTATTTAATTATTTATAATTTTTATAATCAGATTTCCAAGAGTATAAAAAATAAATACAAATCTAAATAATATTTTAATCAATTTTGTAGTTATCATTAATAAATTTATTAACTATCTTAATTTTATATTTATGTGTATATATAATATTTTTATACTTTATAAGTCATACATATGCTGTCTGTTAATAAAAAAAAAGGAATGTTTTATTTACAATCAACATATAAACACATAACTATTAAATTCAAAGAAAATACCCCATATATATATATATATATATATAATGCTTATCTCAATTTGTTTTGATAAGGATATATAATCTATATATTTACTGCAAAAAATAATATTAGATTATATAGTTAGATATAAATATTATCTTGAATTATACTTATAAATTTTTTTTTATCACTAGTGATAAAATGTATTATAATTTAAAACAAAGTGATATTTTATCTCTATCTTAGAAATACACAACATAGAAAATTTAATATTCATAATAAGTAATTTTATTGTATTAATTTTTATGTTAGAATGAATCAAATAATCCAAACTTTAAGTATTATCTGAGCCTTTTTTTATACTTTAATTTTAAAGAAAATTATGAACATTATAAAACTATACATTTTTTTTGTTAAATAGATAACATATGCACGTGTATATTAATTTTTTTATCAATAATGTTAATTTGTTTTTAAAGTAATATTCTTAATGCATTTAATTTGATCAAGATCACTTTAATACATTTTAACTATGGTTTGATGAGTTAAAAATATTCTTTTTGTAGTATCAATTTTTAGATTAATTTTTTTTTTTTTGTTTAAGAAGACGTCATATCCGTTTATGTTGTCGCTATTTTACACACGTACTACATAGACAAAATCTGTTTACACAGTCTGAGTAGAACTTGCTCAAATTTGGTTTTAAAGTAAATTACCTAAAATAAAATTAAAAGATGACAATATTTTAAAGGGCAAGACGCTGAATTTTTTTTTAGAAATTTAAATTTTGAAAATTTAAAGGTTATTTGAAAATTTTGAAATTTTTGCTAATTTTAAACAATTATAATGAACGTTATATTGAGGATAATGGAAAAAAACTTAGTGCCTTGCTCTCTGAAATATTGTCATCTTTTAATTTTTTAGTAGGTATATTTACTCTAAAATTAAAATTGAGCGAGTTCTACTGACCGGGTAAACATATTTTGTTTATGTCGTTTGTGTGTAAGACGGAGAAAACACATGTAGGTATGATGTCCTCTTAAACTAAATTAAAGTATAAACATTTTATTAATATATAATTATTAATTATATTTGACCAGTTGTTTTTTATTGAGCTCTTGAAAGTAAATAATATATTGGTAGCTTATAAACTACAAGTAACAAAATAACATTTTATGTTCAAATAAGAAAAATAAATACATAATATTATAAAAACATCAAATTTGATTTTTAAACAAAAAATATTATTCTATCTGTTTAAAAATGAGCAAATTGTAGCATAAAAAAAAATATTGATTTGATTTATAAGTAATATATTTATAGGCCATGGTCTATGTCTATAAAGCTGTATTGTTATTGCGAGTATTAATAGAGCTTTAAAGAATAGCAACTAATTAAGGATTCCACTAATATAAATATCTAAAATATTTTTAATTACAACCTAAGGTCAAATGTCCATGTATTAGATGGATACTACTATTAGATGACACTATTCATAGTTGTTTATTAGGATGAAAAATAAAATTAGATAGTTTATATCTATAGGATAGATGAATCAGAGTTGTTGTGGTCATCGTGAAGTATGTATTTTGTTGTATATAATTAATTCTGGTCATTACAGCATTATCCATTTTACAGACAATATACTTATTTTTGCTAAAAATATTTATTATTTTTAAGCTTACTTACACATATACATCATGCATAATATAACAAAAATAATAAGTGTTATACTATGTTCATTTTTGTGAGTGTTTGAAAATAAAATGTTGAAGAAGTTAGTTATTTTCTTATTATTCAAAAAATATTAAGTGTGTAGAAGCTGTTTGTCATTATATTTATGCATATTAATATCAAGTTTTCAAAATATCCATACTCATTTTAAGCTAATTTATACTATGAATGAACTGTCTTCATTTCTTAGTTTCTTTCAATTTATTGTCTTACAACATCAAATTTATGTTAGGCAGTTCCAATTTTGTGCTGTTAAATATATTATTAGAACATAACTATCATCAAACTAAAAGGTTAGTTATTTTATTGTTGGTTTACTATGTTTTAATATTTAAGTGAGTATTTTTAAATTTTAATGTCTTACATATTCATAATTTGCTTAAAAATTATATTATAAAAAACCAATATAAAACACAGTTTATTTTCTTACCTTTAAGTTTGATAATTAATTAATTCACTCCAATATTTAAGCTATAACAACACAAAATCAGAACTATTTAATGTAAGTTTTAGTATTAGTAAGTTGTAGACAATACATATGTGTCTTCTCAACACCACTTTATGGTATGTATAATGTATATAGATATCACTAGGGCTCGGATTTTAAAGCATAACAAATAGCAAAAAAGCACACAATTGTTCTAAAAAACTAAAAATGAAGTATATTTATTTTTAAAAAAAGCAAAAAAATAAGCATGACCAAAAATGAATTAGTTATAAATTTATAAAATTGAATAAAAAAAATTGAAAAATTCATTTAAGTTGAAAAAGAATTAACTACCGTGTATTTTGCAATAACTGATTTTATTGTCTGATAGATTGTTTTAGATTGATTATATATACGTTTAATACATTTATCAATCAAGCCGATAACAAAAAAAAAATAATAATCCAAGACAAGCATTTTAGTCCGTATTTCAGATTTTCACATTTTTAATAAGAAATGTGAAAATCTGGAACATAATTAATAAGTTAAATTATTATTTTTTTTTCTGATTATATAATAATTAATATATAAAAAGTTCACTGCTGGAATAACTAAAAAGAATAATAAAAAGCAAAAATGTATTTTCGAAAAAAAAAGCAAAAATAAATTGGTTTATTTGGCATCAGAATGACGTGAAACAAATTTATGTATAAAATTTAGATTTCTATAATGTTTATAAAAAAAGAAGCATTTGCTTTAAAATCCAAGCCTTATAAGTTAATTATGAGAAAATTTAATTTTATATTAATATATGTGTTATTTTTTAATAAAATAGTTCAATTTACTGTACTATTTATAGAAAACAATTTTTTAATACTTGATAATATAAATAAATCATCCACTAAGAAGACTTCCTTTTTTTATCCCTGGGAAATGATTTATTATTGAATTAAAATTTAACACACTTATTAAAGTTAAACTACATTGAGAGTGGTTTAAAATTTGATCTAGCTTATGCTCTGGGGGAAAGAAGGTCAAAAGTAAAAAAACTGACTCAATACTATTCAATATTTGAAAAAATAACGAAAAATGGGAATAATTATAATTATTATATTTAAAAAATCAATTTTGTTTTTTTCTTGTAATTAAAAAGAAAGAAGTAACTGAGCAAAAAAATAAATGTTATAAATGTATTGATTTTATTATGATTTCTTTTTTGTGTATGAATACACAATAAGTGATAGATATAATACTTCAATTTTTAAAAAAATTAAGTGATTTTAAATATAAAATTAGATCTAGTTTGTTCTGTAGAGAGATCAAACTTAAAAGTTCCTAGTATTTATTTTTATAATCGAGAAAAACAAAAAAAAAAATTAAGAAGAAACTGCAATTTTTAACAAAATCGATTTTGTTGTTTTAATGTAATTCGAAAACGAATAATCTTAGATACATACTTGATATTTTACCAAATGTTGACATTATGGTTTTTCATTTACGATAAAATTTTCAAAATATTTCGACTATTTTTGAGCTATTTATAGAAATAAGAATTTTTCTAAAAATGTAGATAAAATACTATTTGTCAATAGAAATGCTTGAAAATTTAGTACGAAGCTTTTCATAAGTTTTTAATTTTTAAATTAAAAAATATCGAAAATTTGTATTCACAATATTTTTTTATAAGGATTTAAAGTTAGAATTTTGACAAAATTCATAACATTTTTAGTTTCTATACCTAAAACTTAAAATTTTATTCAAGGTTTATATTAGTTTTTCAACAAATTTATGAAAAAGAAAATTGTAGTAGAAATCAAAACCAGTTTTTATGAGTTTTTCAACTTCAAATGTTTACGACATTCGATATTTACCAGTAAGTTAATTATTTTGCTTTCTCCAATTTTGGATATTTTATTAAATTAAAAAAAAATAATAACAATAGATATTTGAAATTTTCACCAAATGTTTAGATTATCATTTTTATTATAAAATAAATTTTTTTATTTTTTTAAATTCTTTTTAAGCATAATAATTTTTTGTTTTTTTTTTCTAAAATGTCGATAAAAAATTATTCACTTTCTAAAAATACTTGCAAATTTCTAATAAAATCTTTCAAAAGTTATTCTTGTAATTGTATAAAAACATTAAAATGCATGGGCACAATTTTTTTTTTTTATATGCATTTGAAGTTGAAATGTTGACAAATTTCATCAAAATCTTAAGAAATAGCTAACATTTTTGTAATTAAAATTACTTAAAAACTTTTCTTTTCGTATCTAAATTTTAAAAATTTAATACAAAATCTTCATAAGTAGTTCATACTGAAATCATAAAATCTAAAAAATAATATATAAAAACAATTATTTTTTATCAACATTTTAAATATTTGAATGAAAATATTTATTTAAATGTTAAATAACAATATTTATTTAAATGTTAAATAACAATATTTTAATTAGATCTGAAATTTTAATGCTTAAAAAAACTCAAAAATGCCTTTTTAAAAAATGCAAAATGACTTAAAAACTTAAAAATGCATTTAAATGTATTCATTATAGTTTAAAAAAATTTAACATAAACTAGAGTAGTGTATTTTTATTTTTTTATTTTTTTTAATATTACGTTGTTACTTGTTATTGAATTTTTTTCTGTTTTTTCTTAATCATTATCAAAAAGCACTAGCTAAGATAAAATATTCGTTATTGACGATGACTTGTTGTGCTATATATATAATTTATTATTCTCATCGTTGGCAGTTTGTCAAGTTTTTTGTTGATCTCAACAATTTTCGTTCATTTTATGAACAAATTGTGAAAAATGTTCTAAAAGCTAAGAAAATGCCCTTAAAATGCATTTAAGATTGATTTAGTCAAAAAATTCGAAAAGATGCAAAAAAAAAAATTTTTAAATAATCAGTATCACCCAAAACACATTTTATACTACGACCTAACGTTTTGAAACACCAGAAAAAAAATGCCTTAGCATTAAAATCCAAGCCCTAGTTAAAATTAAAAAGCATTATTCGTGGAAACTTAAAATTTCATAAATTTTACTGTGTACAAAAATATTTTTTATTTTTTATAAGTACTATAAATTTATTTTTACAGTATTTACAGAAAGATATTATTTAATTTTTTATTGTATAAATATATAAACATAATTAAATATTAATAATATAATAAATGCAATATTTTCGGATAAATAATATATCAAGCTTCTTTTATATTAAAAGTAAAATAAATAATTCAAATAGCTATATCAAAAAAAGTATAAACATATGGTGATTTATGTTAATAGACCATTTTCGTTCAGAATTGTTTTTCGTATACATCATTGAGTTCAAATTTAACAGACCTATAATAGTAACCCACTCGACATCTAATCCTAATGTACAGCAGAGCAATACTCATTGTACTATGTTTTTAATTTGGTATTAATATAAATAAAAAAAAAGAAATCAATGAAAGTCACTTATCAATATACAATATTTATTCTAGGAACCCCTTTGGGTGGTAATTATGGACTTATTTTCTACATTTGTAATTAAACATCAAATGAATTGTATTAAAAATTATTACTTCTTATCTAATTAAAACTCATCGTATTTTTAATACCTAATATCAACACATTGTAAGGGATAACTATATATTATATATTTTTATTAATCTTCAATATTATATTTGTATGTAAAAAATAAAATTATAAGAAATAAATATAAGTCTTATTCAAGGTATTTATAATCATTGATAATTTTATATACCTATTCGTTTAAAAATTTGATCTAGTAATAAATAGAAATTAAACTTCCAATGTTACATGCATTTTAATTGCGTTGCATTGGATGTATACTCTATAATTTATATAGTATAGAATAATTTAAACATAAATTTAGTATAATCACTAATAAGCTTTTTACAATTAGATATTTAAAATTATTGAAGATATTATTTGTTAAATTGTTTTAATTTCCCCATCTGTTTTAAATAATATTATTTAGTGTCAACAAAGTGACAGACATACATATGTTTTTATGATAAATTTAATTGTATAGTTATAAAACAATAACTGTAATCATTTTTTTAAGTATTATACATTTGTTTTTTAGACGAGGCCTTACTCCACCACACAGAGTGAAAAGTGTGTCAATGGCAACATTTAGTACTGAGGAAATTGATTTCATAAAATCCAGAGGAAACGAGGTAAGTAAAATTTAAATTCTATACATATTGCTTAAGAAAAGACTTGGTGTTTTGTAAAATATAAAAATTCAAATCATAATGAATGTTGCATATGATACAATTTAAAAAATTGAGTATTTATATAACTGTGATAAATATGTATTTTGTATTACACTGTTTAGTAATTAAACATTAGTTGCTTAAACAAAATATCTAATAATTTTAACTTAACCTAATGAGAGGGTAAAATTATATCAATAATGTATTACTTTTAAAATTATTTTTATTTTGTTATTAAAATATTTTTAATGCTCAATGTTTCATTTGAAAGACTGCTCTTTAACATTTTCTTTGTATATTGTTATCATCTAATGACAAATCATTTGAATCCAAGTTCACATTTTGTGTAATTCTTGTGATTTTTTAGCCAGACACTTTTATTATTTAAATAGATGTGAATGTAGTATCTCCCTCCTCATCATGAATATAATTTTATAATTGATACAATCCTCGTTATTGTATTAATTAAATAATGTTGCTTCCGTATCATAGTTTAAAAAAAAAAACTAGATTCCTTAGCTGGCTAATTGCTGTTAGGTAAATATTTTAGTTATTACTGATAAATAATGAATAATAGCTAAGATAAATAAGCTTCTATTGATGCAATAACAAAGAAAATATTATGGTATAGTGTTGTATTTCAATGTTGTAAATAATATTATAAATATAAAATAAGTATAATTTTATAAGATATAGAATTTATGTAGATTATAGTTAACTATATGGTCTGCAACTGTGAAAACTAAAATTACACATTTCTTCATGCTGTCATTGTATCATTTAAATAGGTATGTAGTTTATGTGTGTCCTTACGAGCATTGTACATAATTCACATGTGTGCAATAATAGTATTGAAATATGTTTTTAATATATAAAAAAAATTATTTATGGATAATATTCAGTTAAAACAATTATAAAAACCATAACTAAATTACAACTAAGGAGTAGAAATATAATTTATAGACAAAATAAAATAGTTAAGAATAAAATTTATTTTATCAAATTATGATACAATATAATTTATAAAACAAAAAAAAAAATGAATAATATGAAGTACCTAATATAAATACCTAAAATATTTAAACACTTTTTGTAATTTTTAATAACTATAAAATTATATTTACTTTTATTAATAATAAAATAAATTGTACTAAACAGCAATAGAAGACTTTTCAAGTTGAAAAATTTAGATGATTAAGTTGTTTAGTTTTTATGTTTGCTACAAAAACTGTTTTCAACTTGAAATTATATAATGTGATAGAAATACAAAATATTTATATCAATTTTAATGGAGTTAGGTCAAAGTTCAAATCCTCATTCTCATTAGTAATCGATATTACAATTAAATTTATTACATATTCTCAAAGTGTGATAGTCTATCTGTACATTTGTTAATATTAAAAATATTACTGAAAAAACAAGCAAAATAAGAGTTTTCATTCAGAATGTGCAAAACAAATTACATAATTTATTTAAAAAATAATATAAAATATAAACAATACTTTATTTAAATGATGAAAAATAATAAAAAAATTTTGAAATGTACAATAATTCTAGCATTAATGATACTTGACCAGCAATCGACCTGAACTTGAACCTTTATATTATGTAACTGTAAGCTAATTACAAGACAATGACAATATCAATAGCATTGAAGTGAATAGTTTGTTTAAACAAGGCTAAATATTTTGAAAATTAAATTTTACTGGTGGTTGTTAAACCGTAAGATTTAAATAGGGTTAATTTTTATAAATTAAGTTTGGTCTCCTTATCACTAATTTCAATGATTATTATACTTTTAATTTTATCCAGTTCGGTTTGTCTTAAAAGTTTGAACTCTTACAAAAAAAAATTGTTTTTATATTTTTTATAATTTTTGATTGCTGTTAAAAAACTTTAAAAAACATATTGATCTTAAGTAAAAAAATTTTAAACAAATTAGAACATTTTAAATATTGTGTCTAAATATTGCAAAAGATCTAAGTATTATCAAAATTATATCATTTATAATAGAAATATTTGATTTAGTTTTATTACAATTTTTGTTACATAACCTACAATATAATTTATTTTAAATGTTTTGAGGTGGTCTTTATATGAATAATAGAATAATGTATTTGCTTGATTATTTATTGCATATTATTTTATTATGTAATTATTTAGTTAGATTTAAAACAGTTAATTTGATTACATTTTTATTAAAAACAATAACAAATAATAATTCTAGTTTGATGACATACAATATTATTTAAACAATGTATGTTTTTTTTCAAATTTATTCCTTTGTAATGTCTTATTTAACACTATTAGTTTATCATTTTTTGTGCATACAATCTATAGAATGTCAACATGTATTAGAACAGCTTATCAATATCAACACATAATTAATTTACTTTTTTGTAATTTTCAAATTTGAATATAATGTATTAATTGATTTTATACATTAAAAAAATAATAACTATTTGTCTTTCTCACATGTACTGTTTTTTGTTTTATTAACGCATACCATACCAAAATATTCATTTAGCAGTTTCAATTTTGTGTGTTAGCTTAAAAATTAAAGTTAAATAATCTCTATTATCAAACCTTAAGGTAAGAACATTATTCATGTTCTCCTATTGATTTTTTTATAATATTTTAATTTTTTTACAAATCACGATTATTTTTAAATATTATCTATTATATATTTACAAATGATCATAACTTACTTAAAAATTGAAATATTGTAAAAAATTGACAGGGGAATGCAGATAATTTTCTTTTAAGTTTGATAATAAAAATCATTTGACTCTAATATTTAAGCTAAACACACAAAATTGGAATTGCTAAACACATATTTTGGTATGGTATGCATTAGTAAGACAAAGACAAAACATACAGTATGACGTCTTTTTAATATACTGTGTTTTGAATCATCCATTTCTATATAATGAACACAAACACATATGAAAGGTGTTATATATGATATATACATTTATTACTTGAAATTTAATCAAATTTATACTTATGTTATAGAGCTGTGAAAGGGTCTGGTTAGGGATGTATGACTCAAAACAACCTACAAATGATGAAAAACAAATAAAAGATTTTATGGTTGCAAAATACGAGAAAAAAATGTATTATTCTGATCAAGTTTCACGAAAATTAAGTAATGGTATTCAAACAAGACCCGCTGTTACCAATACTACTACAAATCAAGTAAATATAAATTATTGAAGTATATAAGTTTTATGAAGATATCTAAATATTTTATTTTCATGTTTAATCATAAGTTTTTAATTTATTAATATTTTTTAGAAACCTAATATCACTACTACACCTGCAATAAATATATCAAACAAATTTGAGTTTTTAAAAGAAGAACTTTCTAACCAAAATCAATCTCCAATTCAAACATCCCAATCTTTTGCAAATTTTGAAAACAACCCAGTATTTTCTACGTCTTTCGATAATTCTAAAAATATTGGTATGTATAATACTTATATACTGTTAAAAAAATAAATTTAATTATTTATATGTAACTTCGAAGCATGATTACTATTTAATAGTAATCCTAGAGATTTTGTAATACTTTAAAAATTTGATAACTTAAAAAAACATTAAAAAAATTTAAATTGTGAAGTTTGAATCAAAGATTTACTTATTATAACAATTAAGAATTCTATTCTTTAAACCTTTAAAATTTTGAATAGTTTTCTATAGTTTATTTTTTAATTTAAAATATTGATGTACAAAATCTATAATTTTAATATTTTATTTTGATTGGTTATATTATTTTATACTATAAATAATTATATTTTAATTAAATTAGTGCAGTAACCAACTTAAAGCATTGATGATATACATTATAAATCTCCTAGCCTCCCTCTATAATAATAACGTAACCTAACAGTATCAATTTATATATTTGTTAGTATTTTCAATTTTAATATTAAAAATAATAAAATAAAACTAATTATTTTAAGAAATCTTTAACTTTTTTAGCAAATTGAGTTTTGAGGTATCATAATCTTTGTTTTAGTTATTAATAGATTTATTAATATAATTTTTTTTTTTTTACTTTTAAACTTTTAAATTCAGAATCATTTTTTAACAATATGATATATTATGTACAAATTAAGAAAACCAAGTAGTTAACTTAAAAGAATGCCATTCCCCAATTTTTACCACCATCTTAAAAGTAATATAGTAAATTTACGTTCAGCATTCGCGTTTTGTTAGTTTAATTAATCTTAATATAAAAATAAATTAACTAATTAATGAACTTAATGAAAAAAACAGTTTGTGGCTTTTGATTTTTTAATTATGAACGATTTATAAATGTATAAAATATTAATCATCTCAAAAACACATCTCACTCAATAAAAAATGTTGTTACTGTTAAGTTTGAAAATAATTAAACTCGTATTAATATTAAATATAAAAATTACTAAATTTGAATTGGTGAAAATAAACTTGCTATGTTACACTCTTTTAAGAAGGAAACAGCATATGTGGGTGTGGTATTCTCATAGAAATATTAAAACTGAATTTACGGTGACCTAATATTTATTGGTTTGTATCAAGACTTAAATTTTAAATTTGTTCAACCACTTCAAACCGGATATTTTGATTATTTGACATCAAATCCATTACAATTTTCACCAGCAAGAAAACCGAACAACATAAATAATCGATGGAGTGAGTCTTAAATTGGTTTGGTGATGTGATTATTCCCATCCTTGGTTGTAAAGCTTAGAAGTAATTGTTTGCAATTGCATTTTTTTTTAGTAATGGCTTGATTATAACAGTTCTGTTTTGTTCTATTTTATTTCATATCTATTTATACAAGTATCCTAAATTTTAAACTACATTTTAGAGTATACACTATTTATTTTTAATTAGAATAATAAAATCAGCTTACAAAATTACTATTAATAAAAAAATATTTTATTTTAAACAATTATAAACTATAAGTTCCAAGATTAGTTGCTATTTAAATAAAATTATTATTTTGATATAAATAATTATGTATTTCACTAAATTTTTCTTTTATTTTTAAATATGTTATATTATAAAACAAATTTAAATTTAGATAAATTGTTTACTCAAATAATTTAGTAAAAAATAAAATAATTATGATGATCTCTTGCCAATATGTATTGTATTTTTTTGTTTACAAACATAAACATAGACAATTTGCTTTTAGCAAAAACTATTTTGTGTTATATTAATAATTTAATATTACAGTAATATGACTTATTATATAAGTTAAAGTTAAGACTTTTTTCTAGATTCTTGTTAATTATTTTATCTTTATAGTGACTTATGAGCATTTTTTAATTTTACATACTTTTAATTCTTAATAATTTAAAAGTAGTATATTTATAAAAAAAAAAATAAACAAGTTAGTAATTGCTTTGTTGTATATAAGAGTCGAGCATATCTCATTTTTGAGTAGGTCACTGTGATGGATGTGTTAGTTTTAAATTTTAATAAATCATTGTATATCAATGTGAAAAACAAGTGCAATCGCAAATAGTCTGTCAGCCTTGATTTATTATTTAAATCACAGATAATATAGTAATTTATTTTACCATTAGTAATATAGTAAGTTTGTTTAATGTTTTAGATTTTTTGGTTTAAGTATTAACAACTCATGAAGGGAACTTTATTGTTAAGTCTTAAATATTAAAACTTAAAATTTTGTATATCTTTAACTTAAAATGTTCTTAATTTTGACAAATTCTGTAAACATTTAACCTTGGCGAATTGTGTCTATGTATTTTAAAACTTCTTAAATTGTCAAAATAATAACTTCTGTGAGATTTTATTTTATGATTTCATATTTTAAAAAGCATTGTAGACTATTTTTATGTTATATCTTCCTCCCTAGTTGATATTCCTATTTTCTATAACAAACTACCTTGAAAGTTGAAAATCAAAGAATATTTTCTACTATAAAAGTATTTCAGACACTAAATTAAAAAGGAACACATCATTGTAAAATAATTACAATCATTCCTGTGAATCTAAAAAAGCCAAAGAAGGTAAGCAGATAATATTGTTAGCTTTAAGTTTGATAATAAGTCTATTAATTATATTATAATAATACAGGATAGTTTATACTCAAAGCAAACTTGATATTTCTTACATTTGTAAGACAAACAAAACAGTATCATGTATTTTTAAGCATATTTTTACATACTTAAATTTTATATGCATGTTAGTATATTTGACAATTTTTTTATAATTTTATGTTTTTATTTTATTTTCTAGAATAAAACTTTATTAAAGTAGCCTGATATTAAATAATTTTTATAAAAATAATTATTTAGTTATTAAATATTAATGTTTTTACTAAAATAACATTTTATTTATAAGTGGTCACAAATAAATCGTCAATTACATTTATTTATTAGAATTAGAAGTAAAGAGAAAACGTAATGTGTATAAACAATTAAAATTTTGCTTAATTAGATTAGTTATATTAAAAATATTTGATTTTTTTTTATTATGTGGATAATTTTGTTTATTTAGTTTATAATAACAGGGCTTGGATTTTATAGTAATTGTTAATTATTCTAGAATACAAATAAAAATATCAGTGTACGAAATATATAATTGAATATATCAAGGATTCAAAGTATAAAACTATATATTGTATATTTTATTCATTTTTTTTTATTTTTTTGATTTGAATCATATTTATTTTATATTTTTCATAATTCATAGTTTTGAATGTGAAGTGAAGTGTAAAAAGAAATAAAGTAGGTAACCACCTTACTATACCGTAGGAGTTGAGTATACCTCATCATAAAGTTAAATTTGAATATAACGATAAATCATTTCACGCGAAAACAATTATAAGCTGGAAGCAGTTTAATTAGGCTAATTATTATGGCGGTTTATTTTAAAATTAGTGATATGTAATAATAAATAAACATTACCATCAAATTAGTATAAATGTTTTTATAATATCATAATATATATAAAATATTATAGTATACGTTTAAGTCGTCCAGTTAAAAAATATTTTTAATTTACATCAAAATCATTAAAACTGTTAAATTTTGATTAAATATAAAATTTCCTAAACATTTTATCTTAAAATATCATATAAAAAAAAATCATGTTAATGTATTTTTTTAAAGTATGGTTTCTGTATATATAACTTATGAAAGAATAATATTCAATTTTCAAGTATTAGCTGTAAAAGTTAATCACTTTAGATATTTTTAGCTTTAAACTAATTTGCAAACTTTTTGACTTTGTTAAAAACAAAAACATTTATGGACATTTGTATAAAAAACATAAAAATGTCAAATGTCTATGATTTGTTCAAACAAAATGAAAATATCATGAAATTTTGATTATTTAGAGAAAATAATAATGTATTTTGTTTATTAATAATTTCTAGTATTTAGGCTTATTTGTAAATTTTTGTTCAGAAAATGTTGTTTAGTATAACTTGGAACTACTTTAAAGATAGGTTCTTAAAAATTAAATTCATGATCATAGATTATTTAAACTAAAACTTGCTTCTATTTTTATATTTTTAGAGCAAAATTTACAGATCATATTTCAAGATTTATTAAGTTATATAATGATTATTGTACTTTTCAAAGGTATAAAGTCTGGGCCCTGATAACAAATAACAAATAAATAATTGATATTTAAACTGTTTAACAAAAAAAAAATATTATTCTTTACATTCTTTATAAATTTATTTCACTATCTATAGGTGTTGCTGTTGAAAGTACAAGTCCTAGTACTAGTTGGAAATCAAATGGTACGCTAAGTCAAGCACCAACTGAAGACCGTTATGCTGCATTGAAAGATCTCGATTGCTTAATGAAATCTCAAGTTCAACAAGATACTCCTCCCCAATTAAATAATAGTAACAGTTCTGCATGGAGTAAGTAAAAAAATAGTTTAATTGTAAATAAAACTTACCGTTACAAATGTTTATAGGTTCCGATGCATCTTTGAATGGAACATGGAGCAGTCAAGTTTCTGAAAATACACCTCAAAATCCATTCAAAAGTAATATTCCATATAGTTAAAATTATGTTACATCCTCTTGTACTCAATATCTAACCTAAATTTTGTCTTATAAATATATAATTTACCAAATATTTATTTAGTAGAACATTTATAGTGTTATTAGGTTTGATGTTATAATGAATTGACACTGCTATTATTAAATTTATAAGTAAGAATATTATCTAAGGCAGAGGTTCCCAAACAATGAGTTGCGATCATATTTTAGTAGGTTGCGAGTCGCGTTATATTTTTAAATAATAATTTTTTTTAAACATATGGTCTTGTGATCATCATTGAAGTCGAAAAAAAAAAGTCATCAAATAAAAAAATTAGATACACCGATATCATGTTATTGTGGATCATCAAAATTTAAATAATTTTCAATATACATCTCTGATCTAAGGTTATTCATAGGCTTTAAGTAAAATTTTAATTTCATTGAAAATGTACATTTTTCTAATAATATTACCTTATCTTACTTTAACTTTTAATAATAACTATTGTATTTTAATGATACCAACACAATATTTATTCTGCTGTACCCAATATTGATTGGTGTACAGTTTTTAAGATGGACAACTAGTATTCTTAATTTTTTTTTCTTATGATTGATTTAATTACTAATATATATATATGTTTTTTTTTTTTTTACATTAATAATGTAGATAGCGTTCAAGATGATTGGACATCGAATCATGTAGTTAATCCATTTTCAAATAACATACCAGGTATATTAATTTTAAAATTTATGTTGAATTAGTTATTTTAAACCATTTTATAAACACATTTTTCAGATCCATCTTTATTGAGTATTTTTACTGATTTGGTAATAACAAATTATAGGTTATGAAAGTGTTTTTAAATTAATAAAATAACAATATATTATACATACAAATAAATATTAATTTAATATTACAAAAAAATTACTATTTTTGGGAATTTTAATGAATATTGTTAAAATTTGGTGTAAATGTTTATAAAAAAAGTAGTGTGCTATGTGTTTTTAGTATATTTATTTTTTTTTTTTTGGTATCCAAATAACTTATGAGGGAGGGGCCTATTATTACATTATAAGCTTTTTTTTTATCCAAAACCAAAAATTAAAACAATTTTTTTGTTTCAATGTTTCAAAACATGGTGTTAACCGCAAAAAAATACATAAAAAAATATACATCATTGTTAAATTAATTTATTCAGCTCTGAAGATTTAAAATTTATCTAAAAATTACAGCAAACAAATAAAATAAAATGGTTAAATATTTAAAATTCAATTTAATTGTAACATAATAATAATAGAAAAATTGTTTACTGTATTTTTAATTATCACTACTTATTATCATGGATATTTTTAAAGCTATTTAATATTATAATATATTCAACATGTAGAAAGAACATTATTGTACATAATTATGCTAATTAATTTTATATGTCATAATATTATATCTTAATTTGATTATTGGATACATAAAAATAAAAGTAGTTTCATAAAGTCTATTTTTTGTTGCGAAACTAGTAAACTACTATTTAAATACTATAAGTTAATTTAAATTTATGAGAAATAATTAATTATCAACTAAAATAAAAATAAAACTTTGTACAGCTAATATTTATGTATACCTATTATTTTGGTTTTATATAATTTTTAAATTTTAATATGATACTATTAATTTTTCAGATGATTGGCAGAATAATATTGAATGGCCAAATAATTTAACTTCCAGCCAATCAATGGGTTTTAATGATGTAACACCTTGGAGTGCAGATTTCTCTAATCCATTTAAAGTAATTAATTTTAAATTGATTATTTTATATTTTTCAAAAAGTTAAATAATTTTATAAGAAGTTTTTATTTATATAGGTTGGATCAGCATCTCCGTTAAATAAGCATTCAAGCAATCCATTTTTATAAAATTAATTACATCTCTCATTATAAAAAATAAAATTATCTGGTAAATTGAAAAAGGATTCAACATCAATGCATAACTATAACAATGGATTTATTATATTTTAATTTAATACAAATACTATGTTATAAATCTCAACTTGGCGGAAAATATAATTAAACATATTTATTATTAATTAGAAAGAAATATTAGTTTTTTATCAACTATTTATTTCAAGTGTATAATCTCATATAGCTGGCCATTATTACTATTCCTACATTCAAATTTATGCAATTATCTAGTCTTGAAAATATTTTTTCATAATATATTTTTTATAGTTTGCCTCAGTTTTTACATAATTATTTTTTAAATAAAAGTTATTTTTATAAGTTTTAAATATTTGCCAATGCAACTTAATATATGATTCTATATATTACATGATCAGTGTATCAAATAAATGTTGTACCATTTTATTCATTAATATTCTTAAAATACAGTTTGTCTTGCACGTTGTAACTTTTGAAACCATAAATTTATTTTTATATATATTTACTCCAGAAACGTGGAAAATTAGTGAATGTGTCAGTTTATTGTAATTCAAACCTCCAAATTTCATCCAAATAGCTTAAAAAATTGTGCTTTAGTTTTTGATGAAGTTTCTCGTAGGTATAACCTTATGTACTAAAAAGTTGTATTTCACTGCAGTCTCAATGTTTTTGAATTCTGATTTCTTTATTTAAGTGTGCTAAAATAATTTTTAAATTAAATAAATCACTATATGCAGTACTATAATTTAGCAAAATATTATTAGTTATAACGTAAAAATTTGAATTTAATAGCATGTCATCAAACCATTATCTTATCATGCCCGATCAGGTTTACATAAATTATATTTGTTATAACTTATAACTACGCATGTTTAACATTAAATTTCTAAGTATATTAATTTTTTAAAAATTTTAATCATCAGGATAAACCAAAATATGTACTTAATGTATGAAATAAAAATTATAAATATTGGGATTGCTAAAAAGTGTAAAATTTCATGTATATTAAGAAGTCCGCCCAGAAGCGTATGATTATTTACAATTTTGGCGCCTTTTTTCCAACTAAAAAAAATTAGAAGGATTTTTTTCAGTTGAGGGGAGGGACTGATTAATTTTTATACATCAGACATCAGTGGTTTACTTAAAAAAAAAAGTCATCAAATAGATAAAAAAGCTTAAATTTCTAGCACAGTGCCCCTTTAAAAACTTACAATTTGGCGCCTAGGGTGATTTCTCCCCCCCTCCCAAATACGCCTCTGAATCCGTCAATTAAATTTTAAAAGTAAATTAATGATATAAAATGAAAATTTTTTTATTTATAGAATCTCTATCCTTGTATAATAAATGTGAATACATTTATGCACATTGTAAAATATTGATTTCACATGTATTACAGATTTGTACTGTCTGTAGTTAATATCAACTATGTGTTAACTATTAGTATTTAAACAAAATATTTATTTCATCTTTTTACTCGTTGATTAATATTTTATTCTAATTTATTTTCAATTGAAAAAACATTATAATGTAATATTTGTCATAGTGATTATTATTTTACTTATTAAATTATTGAAATCATATCGAACAAAATAATAGCCGTTTATCTACTTGAGTATTAGTTTTATAAATTATAATATACTGTCAAAAAAAGTTGTTATTTTTTCTTATGTTTTATAAGTTTTAATTGTAATATTTATTAATTGAAAAAAAAGTATTCCTGAAACTAAATACTATTATACTTTATTTTAATATTTACAAAATTTACCAAAATTTACCTAATTATTATTCTTGATAATTTTAATTATATGTTTTTGTAATGGTAAGCCAAAATTGGTGTGTTTAAAAAATTATTGTATTTATTTTTATTTATTTTTTTATTTAAATGAAATATTATTTAGCATCAAAATAAACTATAAGAGTAAAATATCATTAAATGACAATTGATAAATTTAATTGGAAATTAAAATCTAATATATAATTAAAATAACTTAACTAAACAACAAACTATCAATACAAAGTTTTTAATAATTGTTAATGATTACAAAGTTAAATGAACAAATTTTAATATAGGTGTATTGTATTTATAGCATAAATATAATAATCTTATATTTTATTATATATTACTTATAATTTTTATTTGATGCTAAATTTGCTTGGAATTATGTTTGTGTGCACCAAAGTATGTTAATCATGTTTAACAAATGTAACTGTGATAAATTTTTTTATTGTACCTAAAATGTATGTTTAATTTTGAGGAATATTTATCTTGGAGTAAGTTAAGTTTGTTGGATAACTTTTTTTTGGATGAGCTATATTTATCAAAGTCAGTTTTTATTCATTGGTTGTTAAATTATTATTTCATTTTTCTAATAAAAAATTCCTTAAAAGTAATTTTCTCAAATTATTCATGTTTTGTAAAAATTCTACCTATTGTAAATAAAATTTTCAAACTTATCAATAACTTATAAATCCTTATAACACTAATCGAAAAATCTTATAGATCATTAATACTTTTAATATTCTTATAAATTCAGATATATTAACCAAGAATCAAATATTCTTGTTTTAAATATTTATAATATAGTTGAACTACTCTCTTTTTCATTTTACATTTTAAATCTTATCAAGATTATTTTAATGTAGCATAGTTGCACAGCAGTTTAAAAAAATTTCTTTGAATTTGATATCACCATTTGTCAATTAAATACACTTATCTATTTGTTGTATACTTCCATATCATACATTTCAATATATCAACATTTATATCAACCCTTTTTTATGTAAATCTTGGCTGTTTTATCTAATATATTATTTTTTTATATGTTGCGCAGGGTGATATATAATTCAAATAGTTTTAAGATGATTTTCAGGTGAATATTGCTATTAAAATGAAGATATGTTTTGTTTTTATATTAAATATATATATATATATATATGCATATGTTTATATATACACGTGTTGAATAATAGTAATTGAAACTTACAGGGTTGTGGAAATAAATATTTACCAAAACAAATGTATATATAATAAAACATAAAACATTTTAATATTGAATTATTAAAGAATCATAGATAAATTATTCCTAATTAACAATACATATTAATAAATTAATGTCAATAAAATCTAGTTCAAATGAAATATTTACCTAAATGTCATCAAAAATACTGTTAATTAACATATTAATTTTAAAACAATTACTCTTGATTAAACACTAAATATTATTCATTTAACTAGCAAAGTAAATTTTTATTTGCGTTGATATTTTATTGAGAAAATGTTTACTAACAACATTATTAGTTATAACCCTTAGTGTCACTATATAATTTAAATAAATTATTTGATTTTCATATTAACTGCTATTAGTTAAGATTATATTATATTTAGTCTTATTATTTAATTTTAGCCACCTAGCTTAAAAATATAACAACTATTTTCTTATGAGGTACCTATAATTATTTTTTATAAAATCTAATTAATGTTTATACCTATTGATTAATTTATATTCATTTAACCGAAGATCTATTATAGTATTTATATTTTGACATTTTTGTTGAACTCTGTGGTAGAGCATGTAAGCTCATAATGAATCTAATGGATTGTTAATGCTAGTATAATATGTTTATATAACTAGTGAACAATAAATGTATACAATATTTAATATTATAAGTACCCATTATTATTGTGATTATTATTTGATGTACCATTACTTTTTAGTTAAAGTGGATTATCACTAAGGTTGTGTCTGTGTACCTAATCGTCATTAATTTGTAACCAATGTAATTTTTGTCATATTTTATAAATTTATGTTGATTTAAAAATAAAAATGTATTTCAATAGAGAATATAATATGTTAAATTGTGATACCAGTTGTGCCATTTCATATAGTTATTCCTTGATTTTTTTAAAAATTACTTAACTATTTAACAACTTAAACTTGCATGTGTATTTTTACAAAAAATCCTGAAAATTATACTTCAATATATTGCTTTATAAAATGTATTCACTTCTTTATAATAATATATTTAAGGAAAACGGATAATTACTATAGGTAAAAATACTTGAGATACCACAAGATTGTATATTTATCTTTATAATAATATCACATCTATCAACAAATTAATAACCGACTATTTTATAACATAATTTTTTTGCCAGTGAACTAGCATTTATATATTTTGTCATATAAAAATATTGAGTACAAAAATATAAATATTTAGTTGTAATTATATTATAAATTTATAAGGTTTCTACAATAGACTAATAAAATGATTTTATTTTAATTTAATCTTAAAAGTTTTTTTGATTCTATTGTATCTATCCAATCATCTATTTACATTTTTAAATATATTAAAATTTATAGATACCTAGATATCTAAATTTGATACAAAAATATACATTGTGACTAATATATTTTTAAAATCATAATTATTGTTAATAAATTTATATTTTCAGGAATCTTGAAAATTTAATAATCGCCTCTATCACAAATATCTATTTACATTTTTATTTTATACCATTATTATTATGTCATTGTATTATACATAGCATAATTTAACACACCATAGTACTATATTATATAGGTACCTACTAGTGTTTTAAAGTATTTAAACACCTTTGTTAATGTAATTGTTTTAAGATCTAGACTCAATTTATTTTCTGTCAGCAATTCACAAGTTTTCATTATCCGATTTTTATTTCAACATGGATCTAAATCTTTTATCAACAAATTTCACAATACTGATCATTGTTCATAGGGAACTTGGAAATTATACATCAACTTTTACCTTTTTTTTATTTGAAAGTACATGAGTACTACTTCCAGGTCACTTTGTAGGTAATGGTTGAATATGTACTAAAAATTTGAAACGCAGACATTATGTACGATTTGGTAAAAGTAAATACTTCAGAATTCAAAACATGAACACGTTTACTAGTTTAGTAGTATATATATAAGCGTATATAATATAAACAAGTCTTAAGTCATAATTAGTTAGGTACATTAACAATTTAAACTTAATTAAGACCAAAACTCATCAAAGATAATTTTGTCAATATTATAAATATTATTTATCATAACTTACTTAATGTTTATGTTATAAATAGGTATTTTTATTTATACATTGTACTTTATAAAAATTTCGATATTATTTGTTATAGGTACCCAACTTTAAATACGTATATATGTCGTAGGCCATATGGATAATTAGATTTTTTTGCGAAAAGACTAGGCTCATGCATACAGACTAACAACAGTTAGGCCTTTTAAGAATTGCAAAAATAAAAAAATAATAAGTAGTTTGCAAACGGGCTGCGCCATTGCAAAGAGCCTAGTCTTTTAGCAAAAAAAAACTAATTATCCACATGGCCTACAACATATGCATATACATAATAAATAGGTAGGTACCAAATAATGTTAAAATGTTAAATTTCTTATTTATCATATTATTTATATTTTATAAGTAAATAAACTATTTAAAATTCACGAAGAATGCATAATCTTAAACAAAATAGATGAGTAGAGGGTACGAGTGGTATAGGAGGGTGTGGAAAATGACTATCAAAAAAAGTTGAAAGACTGCTTAAACGGAACGATTTATGAAAAACAACTTACGACTGATGAAAAAAGTGGTTTGTAATTAAAATGTTAATTGTTTTTTGATTCAGCATGATTTCTAGTGCAAAAACAGTTGTATAAGTATCAGTTGTATCAGTGTATCTATACTTAACTGTACCTACGCCGTATTTTTCAAAATTTGTAAATTGGCAAGTCTGCCTCCGTGTAAATCAATAGACACCTAGTTATGTGAAATATTTAATGTGCTGTGCATGGAACAAAACTTTTTAGGTAATTATATAAGATACCTATTAGTTCTCTACGTATAAATTATATTTAATAATAGTA